AATTAAGAATTATGTACTTTTTTAGATAGTGATATTTATAACCTGCACAATCCAATGTTTTTGAACTTTGTTGAATGGCTTTAGATGTTCTTTCTTTGAAGTGTAATTTAAATTTAAAGATCATCTAATAGCTTAAATACTTCTTTTTTTCTTATTTGAATAAATAGTTAGTGATGAAAATTTACTACAGTTTTGGTTTAGCTGTGCCTGTTCACAAGACTACATCCTTGAAGATCCTTACAGTAGAAAAAAAAAAAGATTTTTTGTGTATTGTTTTTTTCTTTGCCATCTAACAAAAGAGTTCAAGTTAAAAAGTAGAAAAAAGGATATTCAGTTATGACAAAAATTGGAAGAAAAATCAGGGAAGTCAGTTGTACAAATTTACAAGTTATTAAGGATGTTGTACCTCAGCAGCTCTGTAGATATTTAGAACTCACTCTTCTGCAGGATTACATATCCTCAAGAAAGCACAATATCTGGGTACTTTGAAAATGGTTAGCAAAATCATAGTATTTAAACAAGACAGCAATAGTGCCTTGTTTAAAGGTATACCTTCATTGGCATATGGATTCTTCCTGAGATACTGAATGATAAAAGGAAGAAAATAAAACAGGTAGCAGTGTTTTTGAAGGCCTGTAGGGAAATCTCAGCCTTTGGTGTTCTGACAATTCCTGCCCCTAAAAATAAGAAAAGGTGCAAGACCTGAATTTATATTAATATAAATCCCAGAGAGTTTAGCAATTAGAAACGTCAAAGAAAAATGTTAGGTCTGCAGACACAACTGTAATTGAAAGCAAACATATTTGTCATTGTAAATACAGTCTGCTGCTCTGAAAGAGACTTATGGGTAACCAACTTACTTCTGTAGTCATGGACTGTGAAGTTTGGTTTGTTGGAAGCCTCAGATGACAGTTTGAAGGAAAACCTTTGCCCAGCTGGTGACAAATCTTTATCTGCTGCAGTGATGATCTGTATCACCTGAAATCAGATTAATTCTGAATCAGTTCACTCTTCCAAAATAAGCAGTTTTGTAGAAGTGCAAAGGGAAAATCAAACAAAAGTGTTGAAAGTGAGATCTCGTTGGATTACTGTCATTCCTTTAAAACACTGCACAATGGAGGCAAGAAGTCTGAATTCTATAATTACCAGAGAACTCAGAAGGTCTTACTTTGACATATCTGATAAAAATCAGAAAGATTTACTGTATATTAATAGCATTTAATATTGATTGTTTATATTAAAATGTTAGTGATGGTTTTCAGTTGAATGGTTATGCTTCACTTCATCTGCTACTACTCCTGTCACAGTTACAACCCTTTAGAAAAGGGATTCTTTCTCCTCTCATAGTTATTAAATGCACAATAAAGGATGACTCAGGCCCATATAATTGGAGAAATTAAAAAAAATAGACTGCGAAATGACCATAAAAGTCAACAAACAGAATTCCAATATGTATTTCCAACACAGACATTTTGTTTGTAGAAGGATTTTGCCCATGATGTAATTTTTAAACTCAGAAATTTCTACTGCTATAAATAATAAGGAAAGAAAAAGCAAAAGGGTAAGCATCACAAATTTGAATTACCTGTCCTGGCTTGGCATTTTCACATACAGATGTCTCATATGGAACTGAAATTTCAGGAGGGAACTCGTTGACATCCAGAACATTTATTATAACATTGACTTTGCTGGTTAATAGTGGGTTACCTATAAATAATTTTAGAAGAAAAACATTACGTTTGTTGCCATCACCAGTCTCATAAACTGTCATAAACTTGTGATCTCAATATTGTGGCTCCCAAAAGCCTTTGACTTCCATTTATTTCTGATTTGAACTAAGAAGAAAACAGAACCAAACTTCTTATCAATTTGTACCAGTCTCTGATCCATTACTCTTCATGGGTTAAGGAATCAGTCAGGGTGATTATGTTTAGAGCATAAATGGAAAAAAAAAGTGAAGTTGTACCTGTTATTAAGGATGCAAACTTTTCTCAGATCACTTTTCATTAAGCCTGTGGAAAACACTTCCAATGATTAAAACTGAATTCTGTTTTCCTCAACTAAATGCAGAAAATCAATATTTTTTTCCTAGCCATTGTTCAAATCTTCAAGATATTAAGGAGGAAAGCAGAGCATACCAATTTAAAAGACAGAGAGAAAGATATGGAAAAACAAAATCTTGCTGCAAGCCAGAAAGAATCAGTGTTAAATTTAGCGTGGAACACTCACAGCTACCATACAAATATTTGACTATGTCATGAAAGGTATTTCTTTAACTGCAAAAGCATTTGCAGGCAGCAAATACTTTTATGCAAAAGAAATGTTAAACAACAGAATACACCACATTTCTTTCCACTGTCCTTCCTCTATAGATAATTTTCATTAGTCACTCAATGCATTTTATAAACAAGTTTACTTGCAAGTGCAATGTCTGACAAAACAGAGACCCTAGTACAATACAAAGCACATCATGTTCTCTTTTACTTTATGTTGAGACCTCCTGCAAAATAGCAAATAGGTGAAAAATAGTATAGCTGGTGAGTCAAAAGTATGATTATTTTATCCTTTTCCACTTAAGATGAGTGGCAGAAACAGTTAACTATGGAAAAAAATCTATGCTATAAATGAGAGTGTTGTAGGACTGACAACATGAGATCATGTTCTAGTACAAGAGGAGCTGTCTTGAGTCTTCAGGAATAATTCATAGAATCATAGAATGGCTTGGGTGGGAAGGAACTTTAAAGATCATCTAGTTCCAAGCCCCCTGCCACATGCAGAGACACCTTCCACTAGACCAGATTGCCCAAAGTCCCTTCCAACTTGGTCTTGAACGCTTCCAGGGATGGGGCACCCACAACTCCTCTGAGCAACCTGTGCCAGTGGCTCAGCAACCTCACTGTAGAAAATTTCTACCTCGTATCCAATCCAAATCTACTCTCTTTCAGTTTGAAGCCATTCCCCCTAGTCCTGTCACTATATGTTGCTGTCAAAACTCCAGCTTTCTTGTAGGTTCCCTTTGGATACTGGAAGGACACAATTAGGTCACCCCAGACTGTCCTCTTCTCCAGGCTGTAAAAGCTCAATTGTCTCAACCTGTCTTCACAGGAGACATGGTCCAACCCTCAGATCATCTTTATGGCCCTCAATGGACCTTTCATATTATTTGTATTGGGCACTTGCTTTGCAGCTGGTATAATCCTTGGCATTTCATCTGTTTATAACTAACATAGCAAAGGGAAAAGTCTCTTCACGTTGTCACTGTAAAAAAAAAAAAAAAAATTGCATGCTTTCTTCCTTATTCTTAGGAACTACTAAATGCAGAAGTAGTTTCAGGGGGCCTCTGTTAAAACCAAAGGTATTCCCCAATTATTTCCTAGTTACACAGGACTAGCTGCAAGATGAACTTTTTTTTACCTATTTACAAGAAGTAGATAAACTGATCAATCTATAAACATATCTTGGGACCTAGAAGGTGACAAAAATGCACTATCCAGATCACTCATTTGTAGTGCTTATCTCAGAATTTAATAGAGAAATATTTAATATTTAATAGAGAAAATATATAATGACCTCTATTTGAATTCTTGTTCATTTTCAATTCAGCATCATCCCTACATGCAGAATGTCTCTGTGGAGGAGGGAATTGTGCAGTACAATCAAAGACAGAGTTTGGTCTAGCAACTAGGAATTGGGCACTCATTCTTTAGGTGCCTGAAGAGCTGGAAGAAATCTAGATCACTTGCTCACAGTTGAACTGGTTCCTTTGTATAATGAGAAATTAATAAAAAACTTAAGAAGTTATTTTATTCAGTAGAGGGCAAGACCTCTATGGAGAGATCAGAAAACCCCTGAACAGGTCAAATTCACACAGCTACTGGGAGAAACAATCTGACCTGAAACTTCCCTCCTAGCAGTGTTCACTGAAAAAGACACAGCAACCCACATGGAGTAACTCAGGCTTTGCTTTAGATGTTTTTGTGTGTCTGTGTTCATTTTAAGGTACAACACTGAGAAATGGGGATTCAGGACATATTCATCAAACAGATTAGAGATCAATACATTGCCATGAAAATACAGGCATAGATGTCCATTACCTTTTAGAAATATGTTCACTGTGCCTTTCCAATAAAACTTTTGAATGTATTTAAAATATATGCATCATGTACGTGAAAATATCAGATGATTTTGATAATTTCTGTTAGATATATCAGTTTCTTTAGGAAGTTTTTTAGGTCATATTTTTGTAAAGTAGCTTGTATAAATTACTTTTTTCTGCTTTTTGCAACCATTTAGGTAGTATGTGACCTATATTTTTAAAATTACCAAAAGGATTTGACATTTTTCCCCCCTCAAAATCACAACAGGATAGCATGCTCTGGAAATATACGTGAATATGAGTATACTTTTTACATTTATTTCTCACTGATAGTATCTGATTTATTCTCTCTCATTATTTGAAAGAGACCAAATTCTTCTAAGTATTCCAGTAAACTAGAATTTTACCTTTCACAAATGGTGTGGAAAAGGCAGATATGAGAGTAAACAGAATTACCAGAGCCTAAGATTAACCTATTTTGAGTTTTCATTCTGTTTATATGATTTTTTCTCTGGTATCAGTGAGTGAGTCACTGAAAACATCTGTTTATGCCTTTTAAACCCAGATTACACAGATGAGAAGAGAAACTGGGTAAAGCATGAACCTAGAAATTAAGAAACTGATTTCATGTTTCAATTCTGCTTGTAAGATATAGGAAAATTAATTAGCTTCATTAATTTCTTTTATAAACTTAATTAATTAGTTGACTTCATTTTCCCTTGTTTTTCCTGTCTGTAAAACAATGACCATCCTGCTTCCTTTTTTTGCTTCATTACCATCATTTGTCAGCATCTTAATGGTTCAAAGCCATTACAGCAGTAGAAAACATGTAACATTCTTTGAATAATGAACTTGTGAAAATCCAAGGTATCTGAGAAAACAGATACTGACTATTGAGGAGAAGTTCAGATTCTTTAATCCCAGTTATGATACGCAGGAGAATATCAACTCCATCTTGTGATTTAAGGTGAGATTTCTTTAACATTCTAAAAATCTGGATCTAGGCATAGCTGAGTAAGGAAGATGGTTTGGACAGGAAGGATTATGACTTCATTTTTACCCTTAAATTATGCCTTGAGGACAGGAAAGCGGAAGTAAGTTCTTGCACATTTTATCTCCTCTTTTGTAAAATGGAAAAAAAAACCCCACTTCTATACTAGGTAATTAGGCAGCATATGGAGGAATTTTGAACACTGGACTGCATTTTTTTATGCCACTATGCTCTTATGGCAGCTCTTGGTACAGTTTTGGCCAGCAGCAACCAGTGATCTTGTGGAAAATTCACATGCATGTGCTGGGAATTAGCAAGGGCAGGGACTACTCTTAAAGGATCACTTTACATGTGGGGACTCTGGAAGGTAAGAAGGCATAGAAATAAGCTACTTCATGCCAGCTGGCCTTTGTCCTTGAAATGAATGACAGTCATGTTTAATTTATTAGTTTGGATAGGTTCTGTGGCATCAAAAAATGTTCAGAAATGGCAACCATGCAGACTACTAGGGTATTGATTTATTCGAATTATTAAGAAACAAAAAAACAAGCTAAAATGAAATATAGTCATGTAATGAAAAAAAGTACAGAGGAATTGGGAAGTGAAATGGGGGAAAAAAATGTGAGTCTGAAACATCCTCCACCTGCTCAAGCATTTTGTCCCATACAAAACCTAAACTTTATATCTATGAATGGGTTAGGGATGTTCTACATTCAGCTGCCTTCTCAGCATGTCTGCAGAACAATCATCCATCTCCTACTTAAAAACATCTCCATTTAGGGACAATTGGAGAAAAGTTAGTTTACAGAATGACCATTAGGATGTGCCTAAAAATTGTGGGAGGTGTTGTTGTTGCTATTCTCTCACAATGAGAAAACAAAATTTTAGCAATTACATTTTTAAAATAACTTAATCTGTTACTAGTTATGAGTCTACTTATTTATTCTTATTTTACAAAGACATATTATATATATATATATGTTCTTATAGAGAGATAAAGTCACCAGGAAAATACTTCAATAACAATACTGTCTGTTGTTCTCTGAAGAAAGTTTATGCAGCTAATTTCTATGCTGGGCCACTTTTTAAAATAGTCATGTATGTGTCAAGGCACTTCTCAGTGTGTTTTTTCTTGTGATAAGGGATGACAGTTTTAGTTTGTATGTCAGCACTGGACAATAATTTTTTATATCAATATTTCTTCAAATATAGCAATTTTCCCTCAATCTTTTTCATTTTTTTTCTCTCTAACCATTATATTTTGCTTTTGTGTAGTGTGTCATCCCTCAACCCTCCACCCTTTTTTCTACGCTCTTAGTCAGACAATCGCACATAATGTTTTGACAGTTTCTATAGCCCAAATCCTCCCAAATTTTGCCAGTTACTAGTATAGTAGAGATCTTCTAATTGTTACCATTATAGATAATGGTCAACATATAAATATTTTGGGATATACTGCAATAAAGCACAGATATGTTTTAGCTGCAGATTCTTAGTATAGCAATTGATAAAACTTGGGATATCAAAATATATACTATTTGCTACAGGTCTGCCTAAATGTCATACTGTTATATATACGTGTCCATGAAAAAATAAATTTCAGGGTTTTAAACATCTTTAGTTACTATTGGGAATAATAAACAGATTTAAATTATGTTTACTCAAACTGTTTTCCTTGCTGCAGGAAAAAAATTTATAAATCTCGAACGTCCTTTGCCCACTACTAAGCCTAAATAGTTAAGCTTTAGTGACACTTAGACCATGATGAGACCTTCTTTCTGCATCTGCCTGTCTTTCAGTTTCTCTGGAAACAAATTACAGTTCTGCTGTTTTTTCTGTGAGTATACACCTGCACATGTATCTCCATGGACTCAACCACTTCTGACAGCTTAGGCTTCTCTGTTGGTGTCTTTTCCAATCTAGGGATAAAATTCAATCGTTCATTTGACCGGTGTTCTCTTAATATTTTCAGGTTCCCAGGAGTGAGCCCATTCTTTTTGAGATAACTACAACTGAGACTTCAGAGTTGTTTTTTTTTTAATCTGAAATAATATTTATCATCTCTGCTTCCAAAATCTCCCTCTTCCTGTCAGTAGTACGTATTAACTTTTGAAGACTCAGCCAAACAATAAATTGAGGAAAACATGCTATTTTCTACAAAAATTTGCTTTTTCTGACACATAAACAACAAGAATGAATAAGATATACAGCATGCCCCTCTTCTACAGCCTGTTGATGTCAACAGAAAGAATTCTGTGGCCTTTGCACAACTGCTAAGTGACCAAAAGATTTGTATTCAAAGTATGAGATACACCCATGACAGTTTGACAAAAAAAAAAAAAAGAATGAGAAATGCTACACACATAGATGGCAATGAAGAAAGTTGCAGGCACGTAATATAGTGGAAGAAGGGTCTTATAAAAAATAAGACTATGCAAAAGACACAAAGACAAGAAATGAAATTATCCCACCACAAATCACACAGGAAAAGAAAAGAAGGGGTTAGGGATAAAATTTTGGGCAGAGAGAAGAGATAAGAGCAGAGATGCAGCACATAGATTTAGGGTATTAAATCTTGACTTAATTTTAGTGTACTTTTTATCTGAGTATAAAATGACTCTTTAAATTTTTCTGCCTTCAAAAACCACATAGACAGACCTGTTATTTGATTAACTTAATTTCATATGAAGTGACAGAAAATCAAAAATCAGAACTGGAAGGCACCCATACAGCTCCATGATGACAAAATAGTTTCCAGCTTCTAAGGGAACTGTGGTTACATGAGATCTGCTAGCAAAACCTTACTAAACAGGGCTGATTGAACTTCACAATTATCCTCATGAGTCTGGGAAAATGATATTCATTGAACCTTCTTAAATAAGCACTTGGCAATTCAAGTAGTCTTCACATTATATTTATACCTGAGCATTATATTCTGAGAAAAATACCATATTAGCATATTAATTCAGTTTGTGTCATACTTACTAACTTTACTTGCAATTATAGACAAATTGTATTGTGCTGTGCTTTCTCTGTCCAGTAATTCATTAGTAGCAATGGTTCCTTCAGTGGCATCTATTGTAAAGTAGCTGTCCACATCATTCTTCCAATCCATGAAGTATCTGTATGTGAAAAATATTAAAGAAAGTAGATGCAAATGTGCAAAGATTACTCATTTATCATAGCAGCAGTGCACCAGCCTCAAGTTTTATTATTTTTCTCTTCGCAGCTATTACGATCCTTGCAGGAAGAAGAAAATAAAGAATGATTTGTTCATTTCTTTTTTTGCCTGGTTGGAATGCTCAAGGGGAAATGGGATATAATAAAAGGTTTAGTACTCCTGGTGTTCAGATTATTTGAAAATCTTGAAGTCCCAAGAAGTTGATGCACATCTTCTGTGAGCCTGACTACTTATATCAGCCACTTTGAAAGCACTATACAGGCTAAGAGGGAAAAAGAGAAAAAATATATGAAATAGGGCTTGAGGCGATGAATGGTGACGGAGAGTGTGCCAGATCTGGTTTCTTTACATCCATTTTTAGCTGCAGTGGGCTGGACATAGCCTCACAAAGAGGTGTCCCAAAGGATTTTGTCAGAGTAACAGCAAGGGAGATGGAGAAGAGTATGCTTATTCCCCCACATATACAGGATCAATTAATAGCACTTTGCCTTTGTGAAGAATAGGCACCTTTCATTGAACCTGTGTGGAACAGGGAAATACCATTGTTTTGCACTGTTTTGCTTTATTTTGTTTTGTTTTCTTGAGCTCTTATTTGTCAAGAAGTAGGAACATAGAACAGATTTAAAACTAAAAATGTTTACTTCTTTATTATTTTCTCTAGCGAAGAATAGAAAGCAGAGAGGTACCTGGTAACACAGATGCTTAAAAGCAATGTGACAACTATCCCAAACCCATTTCCCTTAAATGCTAATTAATTTGAAAGTCTTTCTTAACATTTGATGCTACTGTTTGTAGTCATAACAGAATAATAGTTTTTTCTGATGCAATTGCCTCCAGCTACTAATTTCCTTTTCATTGTTAGTCTCTTCATACCTTTATAGTGTTTCTCAAAAACAAGGCAGGATTAAATTGAGAAAGCCATTTGTGAGCAGTAGGCAATAAGAACAAAATGGCACTGAACAAGTACATTCAGAAGATTATAAAGCCTAGAGCACCACTCCTATGGCACCTAATTTCATGTAAACCAGTGAGAATAGGAATAAATCTGCTTTTTCCATCTCTAATTAGAGTTATTTATGTATTTAATATAAAGAGAATGGAATAAGCACTATATTTACTTCTGTAGAAGGAAGTAATGGTAGAAAGGCATATGTATGTCATATGCACAAAGAAAATATTTCGACTTGGTACTAAGAATGCCAATAGCTCTAGAAGCCTTGAAGAGTAAAAATCCACATGAAGATGATATGCTCGTTTGGAGACATTTTGTTCAAAATCACAAAAAAATTCCTATCTATAGATGAAAAATGTTATTTCATCAATTGACAGGCATCATTACCAGTTTACAGCTTTAATTAAAAAGCCTCAGAAATGGTTTGCTAAAGGCAGCATGTATCCTTTTACATAGTTGAACAGTCATGTTTTCTTGAATATGATATTATTATCTACGCATATTTTAATTTCAATTTCTTTGTTCAAAATTTGCTTGACATTAAAATTATGAAAAATATATAAACCATTTATTAGAGATATCATTACCCTAAGATACTCTCTCAGGAACAGCAAAATTACTCTGTCAGGCTTTGCATGTTTAATAAATTATAATTTCTTTCAAAATTAAATACACAGCAACACACAAATAAATGAGTTCAAAGCATGAGAAAGTAACTTGTCCTTTATTTCCCCTTAGGAAGATTAACTCATTGCAGCATGAGCCAGGGGATAAAATACAGGCCTTAATTCAAAGCACCATGTAGGGGACAGCCTCCTTCACCAGGGGCTTTGAAAGCACAGAAAACATATCAGGTATGAACACAGTTGTGTTTGAAGGGAAGTTCAGGCATGAATATTTGCAGGATCAGAGTCTGACAGTCTGTCTGGAAGCATTCACACAGGTGATAACTTCATGCACAGGCCCAGTATGCCTATTCCTGAGCATAAGCACCAACAGGATCAAAATCCACAGTAAGCACTGCAGGACTGGCATTACTCCTGCTGGTACTTCTGGCAGAATTCCTCATGGCTTCCATGGAAGTGGGAATTGAAATAAATCAGGCTGTTGTTTCAGCTCCTCTCATTTTAATAGTCTACATATCTAATTAGACTACCAAAGGGAGAGGTATAGGCAGAATTGTTGGAGACGTACTGCCTAAAAGAGATAAATTAACAGGAAAACCTGCAAACAAGCATCCATTCTTCCTCCTTTAATTCATTCTCCATGTATAGTACCCAAGAAAACATACCTAGCAGAAAATCCTCTCACAAGCAGATCTTCTGGACACAGAACTTCTCCCAGGTACATCAGTAAGTCTATAAAGCTTAAGAAAAGTGAGAATAGGACCACACCTATCTGGTCTGAAATGGAAATTTTTTGGGACACTCCAAGGGGAGGTTACTTTTGACAAAAACCCTAAGAAAATGTAGTTTCCTTTTATAGGCAGAAATTTCTCTTTCACACACTGACGCTCAGCATGTGATGTTTTTCTAAATAGGACAGCAACACCTAATCTCTTCCTAAGGCCAACTGCATAGCCTGAGCTCTGTCCTTAACATGGAAGAGATGCTTTGAAGAAGAGAAGAAATGGAAAAAATATCTCCAACCAGAAAATCAGTAACTTTCCAGAGATGAGCCCAGATATCTAGGACATAAAGCCTGAAATTTCTTGTGAGATTGGGATACACAGAGGAACACTGTTGAAATACTGCTATTAGGACAGCTGTCTACATCTTCCAGTCATGGTCTAGCAGTTTGAAGCAACTGAGGTTGGTTTATTTGACTGCTCAGAGTCCCTGCAAGACAGACCATGGATAAATGCACTAATCCTAAAAGGCATTTCCTTCCTTGAAAAGTTAGGGAGAACTTGTTGATATAGGACAAAGCAGAATTATTTTTCAGAAGCCCCTGTACAAGCCTGTCTGGCAGCTCCCAGTACCAGACACTGATATCATTCATATTCACTGTCAGTGAAGAAATTTTGACATATATGTTTCGCTGAATACTCTTTCCAGCAGAGAAGTATATTCCAGATTATATTGTTGAAGGCAGGGAATGTGTGGACAGGGATATCTTTGCTAACACTGTCTGAGTTTTCTCAAGAATAGCTGCATCTGGACATCATGTAGGACAGAAGAGATAGAATGGAAATATTTCCAAATATATCAGTTTATAAACTTATAAGATTCAAGCCTAAAAAACTCACCTAGATTCCACGATAACCTCTTAGGACCTCCAATCACCCTGGGTGATGCTGCATGTCCCTCAGGAGCTCTCACAGAACACTCCCATGGAAGAGGGCTCACCTCCATTCAAAGAGAGGAGACAACAAGGAAGGCTGAATTGATTTTTGCTGCAGCACAGAAGGTGGTAGCTCTTGATGGAGTGCTATTGAATAGATGAGTGACAGCAGGTCATCCTTGTGAGGATAACAGCGACTCTGAGCCATCAAGCAGACAACTGCAGCACCTTCAGACTGTTATGCCATGAATAAAAGAAGTAGACAGCTGTCCTGTGCTGCTGGAGAAACCTGTGTGACAACTTGCTCTGAAGGGATGGGAGGTGGCAGGATGCTAAGGAGGCTGGGAAGCTTAGGACTCAGGATGTATTTTTTGGTCTTAAAAACGTGGAGGGGGAGATTTCTCCTGCCTATCATGGAAAATATTCTTGATATTATGGTCATGTAATTTAAGCCAGGAAATGAGCAAGGTAAGACATCTAAAAGTGTGTGTGTTTTAGAGGAAGAGAAAACTGCTTTAAAGCTACGCTGGGAGGATTAAAGCCAAATGCCAGAGGTAAAACTCAAGGATTGACCTTAAAGAGCACTAAAGCACAGACGATAGATAAAGTGAAAGATAAAAAAGGTAGTGGCAGTATAAGATCAGCATAACCAAAATTAGACATTTGAAGGTTAATGGCTTCTGATCATTGTGACTTTGTGCTCAATAAACATTTTTTTTAAAAATTCCTGTTGATTTGCTTTTAATTTGAGAGCGAGAAATAACCAGGTGATAGAGGAGCTTTACAAAAATAACTTTAATTCGTCTCAACTCACCCTTTGCTGATGTAGAGCACATTGCATACTCTAGTACCTAGTGACTTAGAACACAGGCTTTTTTTAAGAAAAATACTGTAAAGAAAGGTAAGGGGTGAAATAATAATTTTCTGTAATGTGATAGATTACTATTTGTGTATATGACCTTAAATTGTTTAAACGGCATTCACTTTAAATTTTATTTAAATATTAAACTGCAACTAAAAGAAATTCAGGGTCTATGACAACTTGGGATGTATAAATACCACCCATCATATCAGAAATAACAAGCAGTAGCCTAAAAACATTGGGAACATAAATGAAAGCTAAGAGAATTTAGTTGGGTATTATGATTAGTTAAGATTTTTTTGTATTTCCAATACATATATAATTAAATAGATGAAAGAAGCATTAAAGCAGGAATGGCAAAAGGGATGAGAGACTGGAAGAATACAAATGAGATTCTAGGTGTGTTGAGACTACCTGAAAGCCCAAAGGAATTTTCATTATTAGAATGATCATGTGCTGTGGCTTGAAATTATTAGATCTCTGCATATAACTGGATGTTGAGAATATGACAAAATAGAATTTTGTCCTGGTCATTAAGTCAATAGATAAATATAAAAAGATAGAAAGCTCACAGAAAAGCAAGAAAAACTGTCATGGGTCTAGGAATTTCCAAGTTCTAAGGAAAGATTAAAAGAACTAACATATGCTTAGCATGGATAAGAGATGAAAAAAGGGCGACAGGATAACAGCCTGCAGGTAACTGAAGAGCTTCAACAGCAAAAAGGGAAGGGTAGGATTTTTTTTCGACACAGAGAAGTGAAGGGCCAAAACTCAGAAGGGAAAAATTATGTGTTGTAGCAAAATCTTTCTGTCAGTGATGTACATATGCTGCACACCAGAGGAA